TAATGGTGGCCCCTGTGCCCATCAGTCTGGGTGGAGTTGCCCCGTGGGTGCAGCGGGGAGGTGGTGGGGCCCAGCAGCTGAGAGAGGCCCAGCCAGCCAATGGGACTAGGCTGGGCTCCTTGGGACACAGCGTGGCCCCCTCGAACTTGACTAGGGGTGCCTCTCGAGGGACATGTGATCTTCCTTCTGTGAAGTGTCCGGAGCCCGGCACCATAGTCACAGGGTCTTGGGAAGCCCTAGGGAACCATGCTGGGTCCTTGAGACAAGCCCCTCACACTCTCTGTAGCCAGGCACGGCCACTTGCTGATCAGGGGACAGGCCGTGCTGCCGCCGGCTGGCCTCACCAAGGCTACACATCTGTCTCCACCCGCAGACGCTCCATCCTGCGGACATTGCCCTCCACGGCCACACGGCTGGTGATGAAGCGGGCAAAGTCCTCGGGGAACCAGCCTGTCTCTCCGTCCCGGAGCCTCTCGCCGTAGAGCCACCCTGAACACGGATGGGGTGGGAGGGAGGTGAGAGGAAGGCCATGGGTCCCCCGGCCCCTCTGAGCTGCTGTGCATGAGCACGCCAGGGCCAGGCTTCTCCTAAAACCGACCACCCGCTCCTGCCTCAGAGCAGACAGCTGCCGAGGCCTTGCTCACGGTCACCAGGCACCCGACCCCTGCTCTGGTGCTCGCCACTGAGAAGGGTGCTGGGCTGAGCACACCCCACACAGCTCTGCCCGGCATGAGGAGGTGCCCTGCCTGCCCTCTGCAGGCTCGTGCTGGGCCGGCTGAGCGGGGATTCCCTGGGAGGGCAGAGACACCTCCTCCTCCCCACATGGGACACAGTGACCATGGTCTCGTTTTTGGGTTCATGGATTTTGGGGCTCGGGGATGTGGGAGTGTTCCCTTTGAGGACGCCCTCGAGGGAGGGTGAGGCAGGCTGGAAGCGCATGGGCAGCTTGCAGCCCGGCATGCTCTGGGCCTGGCCAGGCTGGATGGTGACTCACGCCCGCCTGTCCGTGCCTGCCCATCTGTGCCCGACACGCCCATACTCACCGTCCTCCTGCTGCAGAACCAGGACCACGTCCGCCTGCTGCAGTGTGACCTCGTCTGCCTGCTTCGCAAAGAAGGCCTTGGTGATCTCCACCTGGGGCAGGTCTGGGTAGGGCAGTGGCCATCACAGGGCTATCAGGAGGCGTGGGCCAGGCTCCACTCCCCGACGGCCTCCAGCAGACACACTCCTGGGGCCGGGGCACCCCACCCCCCGACTGCTGGACCCCACCACAAGGCCAGGTGCCAGGCTCCTTTGGGCTACAGTGGGGGCCAAAGTGCCCAGCCGTGGCAGAGGGCCAGCCCCGCAGGCCCCCAGCCCGCACTCACCTCCTTTGTTGGAGAGGCCCTGCCACTGTCTCTCACTGTGTGTGAGAGCCACGATCCACCGTGCCCGGTCACTCCTGGGGGCCAGAGACAGCATGAGTCAGGCCTGGAGGCCGATCCCGCCCCTCTGATGTTCCCTGACTTCTGACAGCCACCCATGGGGGTCCGTGGCAAGAAGATGGGTGGTGGGGGTGGGCAGGAGTGGCTGGGCAGACTGTCAGGCAGGCTAACCCCCAAGTCACCCCAGCCCCAGCTCACAGAGTGGGGTAGCAGCCACACACCCAGACCCCAGCCTGCTGGACCCAAGGCCACCCCGTTTCCTGGCACTGGGTCCTAGCTCCCTGCCCCTCCATTTGCTGTGGCAGACTCAGGCCCAGCATCCTTGTTTGGAAATAGGGCCCAGAGCTGTCCTCGGTCAAGAGGAGCTGAGAGGGAATATGGAGACTGGCGCACCTGCGTGCCTGCCTTCCACAGGGGCCCTGCAGAGACCCCATCACTGCCCACTCCCATTTCAAGCGCCAGGACCACCCTGCTGTCCGAATTGGCCCCCACTGGCCAGGCTCGCTGCACCCCAGCAGCACTGCGGTTCGCCTGCAGCTGTGCCCTCAGGGCCCAGGGCTCTCCTGCCTCGGGGCTTTGGCACGGCTCCACCTCTGCTGAGCAATCCCAGCCTCCGGCCCCACCTCCCTCTGCTCACGTGGGCTGAGCCTTCCTCACGGCACCCCCCGCACCCCACCCCCCACCTTGTTTCCTTTCTTGTTCCCACTCCTGGTGGCCCAACTGTTGGTGCGTCCCCTCCCGGGAACATAAACGCCACGAGGACAAGGCCGTTTCTGTTCTGTCCCCGGCTCTACCTCGACACCTACGGCAGGGCCAGGTGCACGGTGGGTGTTCAGAGCCAGCCGTGGAACAGCGAGCAAGGCAGGCAGACAACCCGGTCCCCGTGGAGCTAATGTGCCTAGGGCCTGGGAACCACCCTCCCGGGAGCCCCTTACGCAGAGTCTGAGGAGAGCAGGAGCTGCTCCTGGCGGCCCTCACTGTTGCGAAGCAGGGTCACTTGGAAGGCATGGGGCACGGAGGAGCTGCGGTTGCCGCCCCCGGGCAGAGGGAGCTCAGACGGCTCTATCTTCTCCACCTGGATGTGGTTCATCTGGGCGTAGTCCTGGACCACGTAGCTCTCCTCGCTGTGGGGACACGGTCAGTCAGTTGGTGGGACCGTCCCACCCAGCTCCTACCCGGTGCCTGCTGGGCTCCCGGCCAGGTCCCACCCGGCTCCCCTGCAGTGGTGGGGAGGCAGCCACGGAGGACAGGCTCCAAGAGTTCCCCCATCCCACAGAGCAGAGGCCACAGCTTTCGAGTCCTCCTCGTGGCTGGCACAGGCAGACCCTAGTCTGCAGGAGGCCAGAGGCTGCACAGCGAGCACCACCTGCCCCCGAGTGTTACACAGAGCATGTCCCGAGTGGAAGCCGTGCCCCAGCTCTGAGGTCAGAGGGGCCCAGGGCCAACTCCCCCAACGTCCTGCCCCAGGGCCAGCGGCCCAGTGTCCACGGAGCGGGGCTCCCCACACCCTCCTGCCCTAGTGCCACCTCTTCTTCTTGGTCACAACCAGGACATCGTTGAACAGGAACAGGTAGCACGTTGGCCGGCTGGCGATTTTTCGAAAAAGTCCAGTTTCTTCCACTAAGAACAGCTCCCCACGCTTCAGCAGCCACCGGGAGGCGGAGATCAGTGGGAGGGACTAGGGGGACAAAGCCAGGATGAGCAGGTCCCCAGGGGGTCAAGGACACACAGCACCAGGTCGGAGTGACCCCTGCCTCTGGACTGTCCCCAGTAGGGGTTGGATAGAGGAAAGTGGCACAATGTGTCCAGGCCTCAAATCAAGGTGCGCCAGGCCCTGGACCAGATCCTGCCCGACAGCCCAGGGCTGGGTGACCACTGAACATTTCACCCAAGCCAGGACCCAAAGGCCAGTGCTGGGGAAGCCTCCATGCACACCTCACTCCTCCGTGGTGGGAGGGCTCCATGGCGATTATGCAGACGCTGGGCCTCCTGGGCACAAGGGCCCGCTCAGCCCCGAGGGACGGTTGGCACGGGCAGGCCCCTCCGTGATGGCCACGCTCCATGTCTAGAGCCTTTCCTGGCTCCTGAGCCACAGAATACCCCCCCACCCCGATGCCTGGTGCTGAGTTGCTGGAGTCAGTGGGGGGCAGAGAGATGGCAAAGGCCAGGGGGTGAGCAGTGCAGGGGTAGTGGGGGTGGGCTGTGTGGGGGTCTCTTATACACATCTAGATGTGTATAAGAGACAGGTGTTACACAGAGCATGTCCCGAGTGGAAGCCGTGCCCCAGCTCTGAGGTCAGAGGGGCCCAGGGCCAACTCCCCCAACGTCCTGCCCCAGGGCC